GGCACTGATTCAAGTCCTGGCTTTTCTACTTCTGATCCAGCTCCTTGGTAATGTGCCTGGGAAAGCAGTGGAGGATGGCCCAAGTCCTTGTGTCCCCAAACCCATGTGGGAGACTCGGAAGAAGCTCCCAGCTCCTGGCTTCATCCTGGCCCAGCCCTGGCCATTGCAGCCATTTGGGTAGCAAACCAGCAGATAGAAGACCTCTCTCTCTCTCTCTCTCTCTCTCTCTCTCTGTCTGTCTCTCTGTCTCTGTCTCTCTCTCTCTCTCTATCACTCTGACTTTCAAATTTGAAAGAGTAGAGAAGAGAGGAGAGGGGAGGGGAGGGGAGGACCTCCCATTTGCTGGTTCACTCCAAATGCCTGCGTGTCCAGGGCTGGGTCAGGCTGAAGTCAGGAGTCTTGGAACTCCATCTAGATCTCCCGTGTGGGTGCAGGAACCCAAGTCCTTGGGCCATACATGCCACCTACCAGGTGCATTAGCAGGAAGTTAGATTGGAAGCAGAGTAGCTGGGACTTGAACAGGTGTTCTTTTTACTTTATTTTTTAAAAAAATTATTTATTTTGAAAGAGAGAGAGAGAGAGCGAGGTCTTCCATTTGCTAGTTCATTCCTCAGATGGCCACAATGGCAGTGCTGGACCACACCAAAGTCAGGAGCCGGGAGCTTCTTCCAGGTCTCCCATGTGGCTGCAGGGGCCCGAGCACTTGGGCCATCTTCCATTGCTTTTCCAAGCCATAGCAGAGAGCTGGATTGGAAGTGGAGCAGCCGGGACTTGAACCAGTGCCCATATGGGATGCCCACATCACTGGTGGCAGCTTTCCCCTCTGTGCCACAGTGCTGACCCCTAACATCTTCAGAAAAACCAGAGGGTGTTGGGGAAGCAGCCACAGCACTCACTGTCATGGAGCAGTTGACACAGTAGGATGGATCTGTGCATACTAACGTGAAAAGATCTCAAGGTTTTGAGGGAAAGAGTCTTTGTGGAAAAAATGGGCATCGTATTTACAATGCTATATTTGTGTTAAGAAATCCACAACATGGCCTATTTCTGTGGCGGCACACACACCCGTGTGTGCACCTAGGAATTCCCCAAGTGCCCGCGTCACACTTCTGGTTGCGTTACTCCCGGGAGGGCTCGAGGCTGCGCTTGGCTGACGTAGGCTGTTTTAGATGCACCTAACAGACTGATTGCAGCCAGGTGCAATTCACTCCCCAGGGGACTTCGGGAAATTTCTGGGAGCATTTTTATGGTCAAAAAAGGGAGGGGTGGGCATTTGGAGCAGTGGTTAGGATGTCACGTGGGGCACCTGCCACGCACATCAGAGTGCCTGGGTTCGAGTCCTGGCTGCACTTCTGACTCTAGCTTCTTGCTAGTGTGTACTCTGGGAGGCCCGAGTCATTGTGTCCCTGCCACCCCCATGGGAGACCTGGCTTGACTTCTCAGGTCCCAGCTCCAGCCCCAGTTGTTGTGGGCATTTGTAGAATGCACAAGTAGGTGGGAGCTTCCTCTGTCTCTTTCTCTCTGGGTCTCTCTTTGCTTATCAAGAAAAGCATTTTAAAAGGGCAATAATAATAAACTTTAATTGATGGAGCCAGCGCTGTGGTGTAGCAGGTTAAAGCCCCAGCCTGCAGCGCTGGCATCCCATATGGGCACCGGTTCGAGTCCTGGCTGCTCTTCTTCCAATCCAGCTCCCTGCTATGACCTGGGAAAGCAGTAGTAGATGGCTCAGGTCCTCGGGTCTGTACACCTGTGTGGGAGACCCGGAAGAAACTCCTGGCTCCTGGCTTCGGATCAGCTCAGCCCTGGCTGTGTGGTCATCTGGGGAGTGAACCAGCGGAATGGAAGACCTCTCGCTCTGGCTCGACTTCACCCTGTAACTCTTTCAAATAAATAAAAATAATTCTTAAAAAAAAAACTTTAATCGAGTCATTGATTCCTAATAGACACTATATTTTTGTTATATTTATGTATTTATCTATTTTTAAGGAATATAGTACATGTTATATCCATGTGTTATATATATTATATAGCATATATAATACTGTGTTAGAATAAATACTATCATTATATAAAATAGAATAATATATATTATTTACTGTATGTATGTATGTGTATATAATGTGTATACTCACATATATATACTCTACATTATATATACTGGGTTTACTCTTTTTTTTTAAAGATTTATTTATTTGGGGGGGCTGGCACCGTGGCTCACTTGATTAATCCTCCGCCTGCGGTGCCAGCATCCCATATGGGCGCCACTTCTAGTCCCAGTTGCTCCTCTTCCAGTCCAGCTCTCTGCTGTGGCCCGAGAGGGCAGTGGAGGATGGCCCAAGTGCTTGGGCCCTGCACCCCATGGGAGACCAGGAGAAGCACCTGGCTCCTGCCTTTGGATCAGCGCGGTGTGCCAGCCGCGGCGGCCATTGGAGGGTGAACCATCGGCAAAAGGAAGACCTTTCTCTCTGTCTCTCTCTCTCTCACTGTCTGTGGCTCTACCTGTCAACTAATAATACTAATAAAAAAAGATTTATTTATTTGAATGTCGGAGTTACACAGAGAAGGAGAGAGAGAGAGAGAGAGGTCTTTCATCTGCTGGTTCACTCCTCAGTTGGCCGCAATGGCTGTAGCTGTGCCGATCCGAAGCCAGGAGCCAGGAGGCAGGAGCTTCCTCCGGATCTCCCACTTGGGTGCAGGGGCCCAAGCACTTGGGCCATCTTCTGCTGCTTTCCCAGGCCATAGCAGAGAGCTGGGTTGGAAGTGGAGCAGCCAGATATCGAACTGGTGCCCATATGGGATGCCAACACTGCAGGTGGTGGCTTAACTGGCTACACCACAGTGCCGGCCCCAGGTTATTTGAAAGGCAGAGATACAGAGGGAAGAACAGAGAGAGAGAGAGAGAGATCCTCCATTTGCTGGCTCACTTCCCAAATGGCCTCAATGGTTGGGGCTGGGCCAAGCAAAGCCAGGAGCCAGGAGCTTCTTCCAGGTCTCCCCCATGGGTGCAGGGGCCCAAGCCCTTGGTCCACCTTCCACTGCTTTCCCAGGCCACAGCAGAGAGCTGGATGGGAAGCGGAGCAGCTGGTTTGAGCTGCTGCCCACATGGGATGCCGGCACCGCAGGTGCTCTACGCCACAGTGCTGGTCCCTGGGTTTACTCTTATATATTGTATACACATACATATAAGTATGTATATTATACTAATAACCTATAAAATCACATTATTTGAGGTGCACCAAAAAGTTCATGGGAGGAAGGCATTTGGCCTGGTGGTAAAGCCAGCAGCTGAGGTACCCGCGGTCCACGTGGGAGCGCCTGGGGTCAGTCCCAGATCTGGCTCCTGACTCTGCTGGTAGAGCCTGGGCGGCAGTGGCTGGGGTTCCTGCGCCTGCGGGAGACGTAGGCTGAGAACTGGCTCCCAGCCCTGCCCCCCCAGCCCTGGTCCCCCAGCCCTGGTGTGCATCTGGGGAGCGAAGCAGCCAATGAGAGGACTCGCTCTGTCTCCCCCTGCCTCTAGAGTAGGTAAACCTTAAACAAGTTTTTAAAAGTTAACTGAAATTGTAATTGAAAGTAAGTTTATTTTGGTGAAAAAAATTTAAAATCCATGCATAAAAAACTCATGAAAAATGTGCATTATATCCCGGGTTCCTATTTTTTCACCCAAAAATCTCTCTTCTTTCAATTCTACTTTCTGTGAACTTCTTGGAGGCCCCTCTGGTGCGTGTCCGTGGGCAGGGGGGTTATTTCCTGGCTCACTGATGGGGCGCCTGGAGCCCAGAGATGCGCAGCTTCCTCGCTCACACAGCTGCTGCTGGCGGCCGCTCCAGGCTTCACGACCTCTCCGTGTTTCCGGGAGCCGTGACTGTCACTCAAGGCCCAGTTATTCAAATAAACGCAGGCAGTAGGAAGTGCTTGCAGTGTCTGCCTCCTCCCTCCCAGCACGTACTAGCTGCCCCCAAAATAAGGTCTGTCGTAGGCGGGCCTCTTACACTGGTCAACCAGGTTCAGTTAAGAACTTGCATAAAAGCAGAGAATGTATCACTGTCTATTGTATTTTTTTAAAAAACATTTATTTACTTATTTGAAAGGCAGAGTTCAGAGAGGCAGAGGCGGGGTGGGGGGGTCTTCCATCCACTGATTCACTCCCCAGGTGGCCACAACGGCTGGAGCTGCGCCAATCCACAGTCAGGAGCCAGAGGCTTCTTCCGGGTCTCCCATGCAGGTGCAGGGGCCCAAGGACTTGGGCCATCTTCCACTGCTTTCCCAGGCCATAGCAGAGAGCTGGATCGGAAGTGGAGCAGCTGGGATTGGAACCGGTGCCCATATGGGCTGCTGGCGGTGGCTTTACCTGCCATGCCACAGTGCCAGCTCCCCAAGTATATCTTAAGAGGAAAATGTGATTATAGATTTTTGATGTATTTTCTGCCATTGAGACCGGAAGCTGTTGTAACACAGAGTACACTGTTCTAGCACTTCACTCCTCCCCACCCCGCGTAGTGATTAGGTAGCAGGAGGCTTGCTCCTTCCTTCAAGGTGCAGGCAAGCGTTCTCTGCAGTGTCTCTGTCCACAGAGGCTCAGGAGCGCGGGCGCTGCCTCACTCACTCCCGGAGAAGCCCTGACATGGGTTTGGCGTTGGTTGGTTTTTGCTTCGGCACTGACAAGCAGGATCTGATCAGGTTGAACTTCCTGTCGACTAATTCACAGAAAAGTTATTTATGGCTCTTGATCTTCCTGATCTGAGACAGCAACTTGGGTTAAAGGAAGGGTGTTCCGGAAGTGGATCATAGAAAAACAGAAGAAGAAGAAGATAACAAGAAAGAGAAGGTCAGAGTGATAGCCAGCATGGACAACTCAGGAGCGAGCTCAAGTCCAAAGCTGAGCAGGATGTCCAACTTCATGCTTGATATTTTAAAACCCAACAGAGGGAGGAAAGGAAAAACCCTCCTAGTTTTTTTTTTTTTTAAGATTTTATTTATTTTATTTGTGAGTTAGAGTTACAGACAGTGAGAGGGAGAGACAGAGAGAAAGGTCTTCCTTCCGTTGGTTCACTCCCCAGATGGTGGCAACGACCAGAGCTGCGCCAATCTGAAGCCAGGAGCCAGGAGCCAGGAGCTTCTTCCAGGTCTCCCATGCGGGTGCAGGGGCTCAGGACTTGGGCCATCTTCTGCTGCTTTCCCAGGCCACAGCAGAGAGCTGGACTGGAAGAGGGGCAGCCGGGACTAGAACTGGTGCCCGATGGGATGCCGGCACCACAGGTGGAGGATTAACCTACTGTGCCACGGAGTCGGCTCCCAACACTCCTAGTTCTTAAGACTGCAACGCCCTCCCTTGTAGCTTCATGGATGAAATTTAGTAGAGGAGGTGGCATGGGATCCCCTGGGTCCAACCTGCACCTGCTGCTTCGCGGCTGATATCCTGTGCCTCAATTCCCTCTTCTGTAAAGGCCTAACTGTATTCATCCAGGTAGATGACTTAGACACGTGCCTGCCTCTTCGTACACCTGTAAATATTTGAAGTAGTATAGTAAGAGAAATAGATAGAAATATAATAGTAATAATAATGTTAGCTATGACTGTTTAAGAGGGAAAGTTCTTTTCCTCCCCATTCAAGTTGTTTTGTCAAATCGGTTTAGTACTTTCTGCATGTCCAAACTTGCCGTCCACAGAGGACACTCACCTGTGGCTAACAGTAGGCTATCTGTTCTGTTGTGCTTGGAGTCGAATCTGCTGTGGCTGCCCGGGAGAGCGGAGACCCCCAGCTACTAAATGAGCCCATTCATCCAAGTAGTGATCGGTCTGACGCACACAGTTCAGCTGCAAATGAAAAAGTGAACCAGTTCCGACTTTACTCACTGACCGAGGGGGATGCTGTCTTCCCGAAGTTCACGTCCACCCAGAACCTGTGAATCTGACCTTATTTGGAAATAGAATCTTTGCAGATGCCGAAAGCAAAGGGTGAGCCCTCAGTCCGATATGACTGCTGGACCTAGAGCCACAGACACACAGGACAGGCGGGCAGGTGGCACTGGAGGCAGGGACTGGGGCGGGGCGGCCGCCAGCCAAGGAGCAGCGGAAATTGTCGGCCACCACCGGAAGGCAGACGCAGCCAGGCAGCCTCCTCTGAGCCTCCGGGAGAGGACAGCCTCCTGACACCTTGGCTTCTGCCTCTGCCTCCGTAGCTGGGAAAGGCCGGGTCTCTGTCATGTGAAGCCACCGAATTTGCAGTAATTTGTCATTGCATCCTGGGGAAATGAATCCACTTGCAATAAGGGAAACAAAAATTGGAATGACGCTGACATGCCATTTTTAACCTGCCAGTTTGACAGATCAAAGTCAGCAAGTGTGTTAGGAAATTTACTGCTGGTGGGAGTACATGCAAATTGAAATACTGTTTTTGGAGATGATTTGACGATTTCTAGCAAAATTACAAATGCATTACATACATTTAAAAAGAAAAGATTCATTGGAGCTGGCACCGTGGTGTAGTAGATTAAGCCTCCACCTGCAGTGCCAGCATCCTGTATGGGCACCGGTTCGAGTCCTGGATGCTCCACTTCTGATCCAGCTCCCTGCTAATGGCCTGAGAAAGTGGTAGAAGATGGCCCAAATGCTTGGACCCCTGTACCCACGTGGGAGACCCAGAAGAAGCTCCTGGCTCCTGGCACAGCTCCAGCCGTTGTGGCCAAATGGGGAGTGAACCAGTAGATGGAAGACCTCTCTCTGCCTCTGCCTCTTCTTTTTTTGTGTAACTTTGACTTCCAAATAAATAATTTTTAAAAACAGTGATCATATATAATATATGCTCAATGGGCATAGCTGAGTTCCAATAAAACTTTATTTGCAAAATAGCAGGTGGTGGCCAGATTTGGCCCCTGGCCTTCCGTGTGCTGATCCCTGAGCTACACAGTGGAATGCTATAGGCTGAGAAACAATGAGGCAGTGCTGTCTTGCTATATTATGACATATTTTTAAAATATTTATTAATCTATTTAAAAGGCAGAGTTATAGACAGGCAGAGGCAGAGAGAGAGTCTTCCATCCACTGGTTCACTCCCTAGATGACTCCCACAGCTGGAGCTGAGCTGATCCAGAGCCAGGAGCCAGGAGCTTCTTCCGGGTCTCCCACGCAGGTGCAGGGGCCCAAGCACTTGGGCCATCTCCTACTGCTTTCCCAGGCCATAGCAGGGAGCTGGATCGGAAAGGGAGCAGCGAGGACTCAAACTGGCGACCATGAGGGATGCCGGCACTGCAGGTGGGGGCTTCACCCACTATGCCACAGCGCTGGCCCTACTATGATATGACTTCCAAGGGCCAGTGAAGAAAGCGGGGCGCAGAACAGTATGCATCTGAAGGAAGCATACAGGTATGCACGTAATTTCTTTGTCATTCATGGACAATCTCTACAAGTATCCACAAGAAACTGGACCCATTCCTTATGTCTGGGATGGGGAACTGTGCGGCTCAGGCACAGGGTGTGGAAGATATTTTGCTTTGTATCTTTGGAATTCCGAGCCATGGTAAAATTATACCTCTTCAGAAAGCTAAGTAAAAATAACGATTTTAAAAGGTGAGCATGTTTCTTTCATGAACACAAACTTATTCTTTGCTTTGTTCCAGTGAGTTAGGAATGCTTTTCACATTTCTAGTGGCTCAAGAAAAAAAATCAAAAGAATAATATTTTGTGACATATGAAAATTCTATAAAATTCAAACTTCACCATCCCCAAATAAAGCTTAATTGGAGCACAGCCCTGCTCATTCATTTACATTTTGTTTATGGGTGCTTGGCTCCACCACGGCGGGATTGAGTCATGGCAGCCGAGCGCTCATAAAGTCTAAAATATTTATTATCTGCTCCTTTACATAAACAGCTCGCAGATCCCTTTTCTAGATTAAAGAACAAAACAATCTTTCACATGCTTCTAGAAATAGAAAGTTCTTATTTAATATTGAACGACCATTCCATGAGGACTTTTTAAAAATTAAATGGCTCAGGAAGAACTCAAAAATAAACGGAGAATTTTCTTGCTGCTTCTTAGAGAACATTAGAAAAGCCAGGCCTTTGTAAACTTGAACAAGGACCATCTGTCTTGGTGTCTTTCTCTCTCTCTCTTTCCAATTTAATTTATTTATTTTGTTTATGTGAAAGCGACATAGGAAGAGACCAAGAGATGTCCCACCTGCTGATTCTCTCCCCGTGGCTGGGGAGCTGAAGCCGGGAGCCAGAACTCAAGGTCTCCCAGGTGGATGGCAGGGACCCAGCCGCCCGAGCCATCCCCTGCTGTCTCCCCGGGTGTGTATCTGCAGACAGGAATAGGAGGCAGAGCCGAGACTCGAACCCCTGGCTCTGCTGTGGGATGCATGCTCTTCACTGCCGCACCAAAGGCCCGCCTTCTGTCTGGGCCCTCTGGTCACTCATGGGTGAGGTCCTCAGACTGAGAACAAAGCCCAACTCCCTGTCCCTTATCGGACAGCAAATTCCAAGGACCTAAGGTGGCCTAGAATTCCTGCCAGGACCGAAGGGAAGCTTTGGGTTCTGTCATTTTGCTGCTGGGATGAGGAACGGAGGGAAGTGTATCTTCTGGAAGCTGAGTGCTGGCTCATGGGAGACCGCGCTACCACGGCGCAGCCCCCAGCTGTTTCTAACCCTGTTTCCAACCCTGTGCACAGTGACGCAGTGCAAGGCACCTTTCCTACACGGAGAGCCACGCCCACTGACGGGCAAGCGGTGGCTTCTGCTGCGTCCTCCCCTGCGTTCTGAGATATATATACATATAGACAGGCAGAGTGGACAGTGAGAGAGACAGAGAGAAAGGTCTTCCTTTGCCGTTGGTTCACCCTCCAATGACCACCATGGCCAGCGCGCTGCGGCCGGTGCACCACGCTGATCTGAAGCCAGGAGCCAGGTGCTTATCCTGGTCTCCCATGGGGTGCAGGGCCCAAGCACTTGGGCCATCCCCCACTGCACTCCCTGGCCACAGCAGAGAGCTGGCCTGGAAGAGGAGCAACCAGGACAGAATCCGGCGCCCCGACTGGGACTAGAACCCGGTGTGCCGGCGCCGCAAGGCGGAGGATTAGCCTAGTGAGCCGCGGCGCCGGCCTATCTTATTTTTTTTTTTTTTTTTTAGATTTATTTATTTATTTGAAAGGCAGAGTTACAGAGAGGCAGAGACAGAAAAGTCTTCCACCCGCTGGCTCACTCTCCAAGTGGCTGCAACAGCTGGAGCTGTGCTGATCCAAAGCCAGGAGCTTCCTCTGGGTCTCCCACATGGGTGCAGGGGTCCAGGGACTTGGGCCATCTTCTTCTGCTTTCCCAGGCCATAGCAGAGAGCTGGATTGGAAATGGAGCAGCTGGGACTAGAACCGCTGCCCATATGGGATGCCAGCACTGTAGGTAGTGGGTTTACCTGCTATGCCACAGCGTCGGCCCCTTTACAACCGTGGTCCAGGGGACGATCTGAGGAGCCTGAATGAAATATGGCAGAGCTGCACAGGGCGGCCATAAGATGATTAAAATAAAGGTGGTTAAGGTCGACGACCTGATAAAGAAAGCTGTCCTCAAAATACATTCGCAAACTTAAAAAGCAAGCTGTGGAGTTTCAGGATCTCCACGCCCTGGAAGCCCTCCACCCAGGGACCTCCCAGACAGGGAGGAGGGAGCAGAAATGGAGGCCCCCCCACCCAAATCCATGACAACTCTGGTCTCAGTGCACGAGGGCCCTGGGCTTGTCCTGAGACGCCCGCCTGGTCTGTCAGGTGCATTAAACTTGGTTAGCATGCTCACTGCTTAGAGGGGAAAAAGAAGGTTCTGAGGGTGGCATTTAGCCCAGTGGCTAAGGCACCGCCATCCCACATCAGAGAGCCTGCCTCCGCTCTCGGCTCTAACTCCCGACAGCATTGTCCTGCCGCTGTGCACCCGCGAAGGCAACGGTGATGGCTCAAGTCACTGGATTCCTGCCACGCACGTGGGAGACCTGGATTGTATCCCCAGCTCCCAGCCGTGGCCTGGTCAGTGTAGGCACCTGGGAGCTTGTCTGTCAGTCTCTCTTTCTCCCTCCCTCTTTTTCTCTCCGCTTTTTAAGTAAAGGAATAAAAGGCAGGTTATAAAACAGCACAGTTTTAAAAAATCATCTTTTTTATTTGAAAGGCAGAGTTACAGAGACAGGAGAAGAACACACACACACACACATGCATGCACACACACACCACGAGAGAGAGAGAGAGAGAGAGAAATGTTTCATCTGCTAATTCACTCCCCAAATGGCTGCAACAGCCAGGATTGGGCCAGGCTGAAGCCAGGAACTATGTGGATGCAGGGCCCAGGCACGTGGGCCGTCTTTTGCTGCTTTCTCAAGCGCATTAGCAGGGAGCTGGATCGGAAGTGGAGCAGCTGGAGCTCGAACCAGTGCCCATTTGGGATTGCCAGCACCAACCTGCTGGCCCCCAAACAGCACATTTTAGCAGTTCGTATTCTTGACTGCAGGACACACACACACACGTTCTTACCTCCCCGCGGTTTCAGCAGCCAGGAAGAGACTGGCCGTGCCTGAGGCACAGGGCCACCCCAGAGTCGGTCACCGGGATGAGGGTCAGTGCAGAGTTTACCCAGGAGCATGTGCGCTCTCTGTTCTTTCATTTAGAAATAATACGGACCCGAATGTCGGCCGTGTTGTGGGCAGACAGAGTTAGGCAGAGGAGCTGGGGTCTGACAGCCCCGACCCAGTGCGGCTTGGTGGTTGACTGACCGCTGTGGCTGGCGCATTGGCAGCCTGGCTGCGTGACTAGGTCCCTTGTGTGCACCACGCGGCCCCCTCCCCTGCACCAGCAAGCCCCTTAGCCCTCTCAGGCAGTGGAAAATGCAAGTGCCCAGTCTTGTGACCTTGGAACCAGTGCCAGCTGGAAATACCCAACATGGCTGCAGGATGTGTCTCTCCACCCCATAATGTTTAGCTCATTTAAATAAAACTTCCATGGGGGCACGCCAAGTCCCTTCATGCATCTGACACCGCGACACTTCCGGTATTTCCTAAAAACAGCACAGAATTGGGTGGGGCTTGAGCTCCACCCAAACTCCGCCCCCTTCTGAATATTCCATCGAACTCCACCCCGGACCTCACCCCTTTGCCTCTGCAGGGCATAAAGGCCTGGCCTTGCTGTGGGCGCTGTTTCCCTGGTGGGTGCATTCCT